TGAACCAGAAATAGCTCTTCGGTCTGTGAATCTCACTGAGCAGATCTGTTCTCCACCAACCCTTAGTGCTTTGAGCTGTCAGATTTCATGCCTACCTTGTAATGGAGTATTCTTCAGCCTTGTGGATCTTCCTGTCAGGAAACTGATGTTACTCTGTTGCTGCCTGTAACAGTCTTTGCAGACTGGCATCAGTACAGTCTGAGCTTTCTCATGATGAGAATCTCTATTGTGCATTTGGCACAGTATTAATCCTTGCAACAAAGTTTACTTGGAGGTAGAAGATAAATGGCACCTGGGAAAAAAAGATGCTTAAATCAGTATGTTCTTGGGAAGGTGTTTTTAAATTAGCTCTAATCCTACTCCAGGCTACAGTCTTCAAAACTAGGCTTCCCATCTTGGACATCTCATGCTCAACCTCAAACCGAAGGACTGTTATAGTCACTGTTTCTTATGTCCCCAAGGAGTATTGCTCACCTTGTCCATCTGACACAGCTATGCAGCTCGTAATGAGGACTTAGTCTAAAACTGTGTCCTCTTCCCTGTGTAGCAGGTGAGTCAGGAGAAAAGCTGGGAGTCGGTTTGTATTGAAGCTCTCTGCAGCTGAGATCTGGGTGAAACGTCAGCCACAAGGTACAGAAGCAAAGTGTTAAACAAGAGCCTGCCTGGCAACTTCTTGTTAAGGATAAGCAGAAGTCAGTCTCTGGAGGCTCTGTTTCAACTCCGTTCATGAGCACTGACTTCCTAAGAACTTTTTTTTTTTTTTTTTTTTTTTTTTTTTGACTTTTAATCTACTAGTAGCAAGACTAGCTGCATCTCTCAAGAAGGAGGTGAGAGAGAAGCTGCCCCAAGCAACATGTTTCCTGCTAGAGCAGCAAATGGTTTTGCAAGAGGGCATGCGTATATCGCTGTCCAGATGCGAGTGCATCCGGTCCCAGTCCCCCATCCCGAGCTGTTGTGTAAATCATTCCGGCCTTCTGCAATCTGACACTTTGGGCAGTCAGCACTCAAGATAGCTGAGTCAGCTCCTGTTCCTAGGAAAACTCAAAACTAACCACCACCCTCACTTCCTTCCCTAGCTCTTTTTTGCTTTTGTCTGTTTTAACAAATTCTTATGCCGTTTGTGTGCAAACCACTGTCACAGCATCTTGCTTCATTCCACAGCAGGTTTAGTCCTTTCCATACAAAGAGGAGTTTGGACTCCAGCTTTACATAAGTAAGCAGTTATTCTGCTCTGTGTTGGAAGTTTGTGCAGCCCAGTTCAAAAAGCAGAAATAACCCTTTCCAGGCACAGTATGGCAGGGGCAGCAATTGAAACAGTACTTGCTGTATTTCCTTGTCAGCTCTCTACTGTGGTACATCTAGCCTCATCCTGCACTTACGGCCAGTATGTTGGGCCCAAATCTGGGACTGGGTGGTCTGTCATCTGTGTTCCCTTATCCCTGCTTAGTTTGTGATGGTGCTTTTCTTGGGCTTGTGTCCTG